CTTGGAACAGAGGTGGGAGGAAGAGAATTCCAAGGTCGCTCCTAGAGTTTTAGCTTGGGCAGGTGGCTGGGTGGTGGTGAGGCAGAGAGTGACGGCGGAGCAGCGGGCCGCCTCCTGTTCCTGAGGCACCGAGTGTGAGCACACAGGGCCAGTACACACAGTGCTGAAGGGCCCGGGCCCTGCAGCCAGACTGGCTCTTCCACCTTATTGCTACAGGGGTTACATAAGCTCTCTGTGACTCAGTTTCTTGGAGATGAGAGTAACAATAGCTCTCTCAAGTGCCGTCGCGAGGACTCCACATGTGAAGACTTCCAGTGTGTGTGTAAGACTATAGAAACGCTTACACACTGTAAAGACGACACACTTTTATCATTATTATTATTGTCATTACACACCCAAGAGGTGAAGTCCAGTTGGACGATGCGTCTGTCTACAGTTGGAGATGTGGCTTTCAGTGGCATCAGCACGCAGGTGGCACTGAAGACTTTGGGGGCAAACTGAGAGGGCACAGGGCCAGGAGAGAGCCCTGAGGTGCTCCAGTTCAGAGGGACGGACGGAGCCAGCCAAGGAGACCCCAAACGTGTGGCAAAGACACAGGAGGAATGCAGTGGGAGTGCATGGACTCCAAGCCTCACGGAATATCCATCTAACACGCCAGGGTCTCTGGCTGTCCCCCCACTTTCCTTGTGTGGACAAGATTGTCCCAGCTGGGGTGTTTCCAAGGGACATTGGTGAATTCAGAAAAATTAAGTTTTTAACATCTATGCCCAGAAACATATTTTCAGAGTATATTAGAAGAGTACACTATTTTTACAAAGCCTGAAATACATCCTCTTATAAAAACTTGAATCCTTTTGGAATGAGCGCTATCCCTCAACACTCGTCAGTTTCATAAGCTTGGACCTCTCGAGTGTGTCCTTTCTTCCGTCTGCGCTAGCCTACTTTGCACACAAATTTCCTTCCACTGTTTTGTGCCTATTTTAACTCCGCACCTAGATGATTGGCTCCTAAGGAAGTGAAAAATTAGGGGGCCACGTAATTTAATTATTTCTTGAGTTCCTGTTTAAGAGGAGCTGTTGCTAAATGGTAGTTGAGGCAGGTTCTCAAAAAAAGAAACGTAACCGGTAATGGCCACTCCCTTCTACTGATGGCAAAATAGTCCTGCTGATCCAGTGCATTCAACTAATCAATGAGAAATAACTTCTTATAACATAATCAACTGTAATATAATCAGTTTTTAAGAATTCTTCACATTTTCTACAGCATCTTCTAGTTTACAGAATATTTTCATATAACATCATCAGAAATACCTATCTGCAAAGTAGTCATAGATTATTCCAATAATCTTTGAAATTACTATTTCCATTTTACTGATGAGAAAATCTGGACTTAAAGAAATTAGTTAACCTGCCAAGCGTTGTACACGATAAGTGAAGGGCCAAGACTGACAGCTGACAGGAAAGTGGTGAACCCAGTGGGGGGTGGGGGCAGGTGTGCAGTGGGACTGTCCATCCTGGAACCAGGCATTAAAGGGGTGCATTGTCTGTAGAGGATTTAAAAATAATAAAAGCCAACTAAAGGCAGTCTGCTTTTTATCATCACCGTGCACCCGTGATTCCTAATAATGTCAGTAACAAACTTCTCTTTGCAGGGCTTTTTCTATCCCGTAACAGAAACAGTCAGAGAGCAAGCGAGCCTCATTTCCAGTCCCGCGGAGAGGATTTCTCTCGGGACTTTGCAAAGCAGCTCTTCTTCCAAATGCCTGCCCTTGTGAACACAGACACGTTTTCCTTGGGGATGTTAGAGCCTTACAGAATTATGCCTCCCCGGGAGAAGTAATCACCGCCATATGGCCAAACGTCTGGAAGCGCCTCGGCCTACTTAACAAAATTTCTCAAGAATCTTCTAGATGAGCAGCACCCATTCACTGATTCAGCAAAAGGCGCTGAGCAGCTCCTCTGAGAGCGCTGCCGTGCGGGAGCCGCGGGTGCGGGTGGGGAGCAAGGAGAGGAAGCCAGCGCCCACCAGGCCGCTGGACTGGGAACAGCTTCTCTGGAGGAATTTGTCTTAGTGTCTGAGACCCGGGCCTCCTTGGAGTGTAACTCACTTGCCCTCTGGGCTTTGGCTGGAAATGTCCAGAATTCTCCTGTCCTCACTGAGAGGGGCAGCTGCTTGCTCCAGGATCACAAAGCTAGCTCAGTAGTGGAGAGTTCCAGCTGCTGGCAGCCCAGACCTGAGGGGTTTCCTGGAACCTAGAACTCTCAATGATAAACCGGGACAAATGAGGATGGTTGGTCATTCGTCCTAGTTGCTGAGACTTCCTAATCATTATTTGGTGCTCATTTTACTGTTGGAATCACCGCGGGGCCCAAGCTTGGGGCGTAGACAGCCTGGACGACATCTTCGTTTTGGGTATCTGCGGGAGCCAGCGTGGCGGCAGGCTCACCGTGAACCCAGGGAGAGCTCAGGGCAGGGCTCTCCATGGCAGCAGCACGGACATTTACGCAGGATCATTCCATTCCGGGGGGCTGTCTAGGGTGTTATGCGATGTCTAACAGCAGCCCTGGCTTCTACCCACTAGATGCCAGAAGCACACAACACACATCCCCTACCCCACTGTGACAATAAAAAATGTCTCCAGATAGTTTCACAAGTCCCCTGGGAAGGGGACCAAAATTGTCCCCCGCTGAGAGCTATGGGTCTAGAGAGACGTCTCTTGCCGCCTTGCTAAGAATTTGGGGCTGTTGTGCACAAATCGAGGCTGGTAGAGGGGGCGTCCTGGCTCCAGCCTGGGCACAGCACCCCCTTGCCCACATGAAGTTCTAATGGCTACACTGAAGCAGAGTTAGGCTGGTGGCCGGGATCCCCCGTGACAGCGCACCTGGGCAGGTGCCCTGTAAGCACGCTCTTCCCACAGGGTGTCACAAGGAACACTTCCTATCCTTTGGGGTGCTTCCTGGGGAAATAAAAGGGAGTTGAAAGACGACCACAGGGCTGCTCACAAAGTGCCCTGCACACTGAAGGCTCTGAGCAGTCTTGCAACAAACAAGCCTGTTTAAATTTCACAACCCAGAATCATTCTGAGGTCAACCCATCCACTAAGATTTAAATACAGCCGGCTCAATCTCCCAGCTGGAGGGTTTTTGGAAATTCTGGCGCCCTCCCTGAGATTTCTGAGAATTCCGGAGGGTCTGTGCCCTTGTGGTCACTTCCGGCTCTGAGTCCAGCCCCGCCTACATTGTCCAGCTCGCTCATGTTGCCCCTCTTACCGCTTCCCTCTTGTTTCTGCTCTGTGCTGACCAAGGCACCGATTTCAGTCCCCTTTCCGTGACGTCTCCTTGCCCAGAGCACCCTCCAGGCGGTGGTGTGCTCGGAGGGCTGCACCGAGTGTGGAGTGGTGCCAGGCTTCGCCAGATGGGATTTTAGCCCCTTCCCCTCAAAACTTCCCAGGTGGGAAGCCCCCTCCATGCCTGCCCGACTCCACTCTCCGAATTTTAATGGACAAAACCACCTCACTTCCCTTCCTCACTTGGTCCTAGATCTACTTTTGCACTTTCAAAGCCTTCTTAACAGGTGACCACATAGTTCATCGTCCAAACTATGACACTTCTGAGAGTGAAAGGGGACCTAATGGTAATTTCGCTGGGACAACAGACGTGCACCAAGAAAGTCCCCAGCACAGCAGGGCACGTGGTCACCACCCATCTCTGCTGAAACAAAGCGCCGGTAGCTCCTGGCCTTGCCCTTCATCCGCTCAGGAAAAGCCTTTCACTACAGTGTTTCGTTTCTGCCTCCTCCTCCCCTCACCAGTCCCTGGATGTGGACCAGAGCCCTACAGGGTGCGTTTTCTTATTGTTGCGAGCTGTGCCACCTCCTTAGAAGACAAGCAGCTGCTGCTGTCAGCTTTGGTTCCAAGCGAAAATTTCTTTTTCTCCATTACTCTTTGCTTATTCATCATTTCCCAAATTTATTTGGTCCTTTGGTTTAATCTATCCTTCCTAACACCCATTAACATCTCCCATAACTAGAAAAACACAACGGGGTAGGGGGTGTGTGTTGTGTGCTTCTGGCATCTAGTGGGTAGAAGCCAGAGCTGCTGTTAGACATCCCAGGTCTCACTTTCTCACTTCCTTTAGGTCAAATGTCAGCGAGGCTTTCTCTGAGCATCAGTGCAAAACAACAACCCACTCCCAGCTGGGGTTCCCCACCTTCCATGACTTAATTTTTCTCCATGCCTTATTTCTCCATGCTTTATTTTTCTCCTTGCCGCCATCTGGCAGTCTGTGTATTGGCTTGTCTGTTTGTTTACCGCCTGTCTCTCCCTCCTAGAAGGGAAGCTCCGTGAGGACAAGATTTTGTCTGTTGGGTTCACTGCTGTTATTCCCAGGGTCTAGAATACGGTGATATTTAATAAATGTTTTTAAATGAAGGAAAGAAGTGAACCAACTGCCCAGTTCCAGACATCGTCCACAGTTCCCCCGGGAGCTGTCCCTGGTCAGTGGCGGGACATGGACCCACTTCCGCTAGGTGCTCCTCCCCAGCTCCTTTCCCAGGTGGCCCTCCGTTCTCTCGGTGAGCTCACCAAGCCCCAGCCCTCAGTAAGAAGCACCTCACGCGCACCTGCAGCCCACCCGTCCCCCGACACTTGGTAGACCGTCCAGCAATTCTGCTGGGCAGACACACAAGGCAGTCAGCCATTCAGGTCTCCATGGACGTGAGCGTCACTCACGCGTTAACTTCCACAGGGCGTTCATTCCTGACAGGGCGAGACGGGAAAGACAAAACCGAGCAGCCGGGCCCTGAACGGCACCGTCTCCTCCTCAGCCCTACCCTCAGGAGGGGCAGAGCTACACTGGGCTCCTTTGTTGGCCAGTCTGCCTCAGGAACCCTCTTCGGGGGCTGGGAGTGTCTGGAAGCATGTCCCTTGTCCCTCATATGATACCCCTTTCCACCAGAACTGTACTTTGCTTCCAATAAATTAGAAGAAATACTCAGCCATCTACCTCCAACAGAAATTGTTTTATGCATTTTTGAAAACACACACACACATACATCTAAAGCAAAAGCGGACTGAGGTTCCAGCCGGGGCACAGGTCTGACTGTCCAAGTGGAAGCATCTCATCAGCTTCCCGTCAGTGGAACAGCACAGAGGTGTATTCCACTTGGTCTGGTGATGTTCTCCTGGGGTGATCAAAAGGGAGCACATTGGCATAGATGGCGAAGTCATCCTCTTTCCAGGGGGCCAGGTTGATCACATTGCAATATATGGCATCCGCATGGCAGGACAGCTCCTATAGAGGGAGGACCCTGGTTAGAGGCGGAAGGTTGGGCTCCAGAGACTTCCAAAGACCAAACCAGCTACCGGACATCCCTACAGGACAGCAAGTGGAACTCCGGGCTCTTGCTGAGCAAGCCCTGGGTTCCCTTCGATTTCAGAAACATTTCTTTTAGGGCTGTTCTCTGCCTCATCCCCACCACCCCCCATATTGGGTCTATCTAGGAAACAGCATGAAATCAGGGCAGAGATGACTGGAAGCCCCTTGAGGTGTGATCTGACTATTTTCCTACCGAGGATTTGTGGAGAAGGTTGGTCTGATGCCTCAGTTGTTTCTTAAATAGTCCTAGAAAAATTAATAAACTCAGAGTCAGCCTGGGTTGGGGTAGTAACCATCTTTACTTGGTCAACTCCCGGACTTAGTGTTGAGCTTTGAAATGCAAAATCCACCACGTTCAGCTCATTGGGCTCAGAGATGAGCCAAGCGCCCAGGTAGAGATGGGGGAGTGAGCTCTACTGGTACACGGTGTAATTTTGGTTATTGTTTAGATGAGACTATTTGGCGTCAATATTTCTCTCGTCAATGCATATAAACCACAAGTGTCTATGCAGACTGCTTATATATGGCTTTCAGCATAAAGAATCTGTATCATAAATAAATCTTGTTGCTATGTACATAGTCCTTGGCAACTCTAGAGAACAGACCTTCAGCGTGCCCACTCCTCCCATCCCCCAAGGCTGCCCCATGAGAAAGACACCCCCATCTCTCCCCAGTGTCTCCCCTTTCTTCATTCCGAGTTCCAGGACCAGCTCCTTCAACTCACTCTCGTGCCTCCATTTCTTCAGGGTCATGGACAAGAGACCCACTAGGAGCAAGATGAGGGCCATGACGCCAACGGAGACAGAAATGGCTGTGGCTGCTGTGCCTAAACTGAGGGAAGCAAACGAGAGCGATGAGGACGCCGCAGCGGCTCTGGCTAGCTTTAATGACTGTCCACAAATTGCCCTGGGGCCTCCCTCCTCCAGGAGCTCTTCCACCTCTGGGCTTCCACATCCCCAGTAGCCAACCATCTCTTGCCTCCGTTTGAAGCCTCTCTTCTCTTCCCAACCTCCAAGGCCATGGTCCCACTCACACCATCCCCACATCAGGGCCAAGCAGACCCCTTCTCCAACTCTCCCGCTCCATAGCTCCAGCCCCTCTCTCACCCACCCGCTGAATTCTTCAGTTTCAGTCTCTGGCTTCAAGGTGGTGATATTCTCTGCAGAAAGGGAAAGAGAGGAAAGGGAAAGGAGATTTAGGGTAATTCTTACCCACATGCTATAGACTGAATATTTGCACCCTGCCGAAATTCATATGTTAAATTCTGACCCCCAATGTGATGGTATTAGGAGGTGGGGCCTCTGGGAGGTGACCAGGTCATGAGGGTGGAGCCCTCATGAATGGGATTAGTGCCCTTATAAAAGAGACCCCACACGGCTCCCTCGCCCTTCCACCTTGTGAGGACACAGTGAGAAGCCGACAGTCTAAGAACCAGGAAGCGACTCTCACCAGACACTGAATTTGCTAGTGGTAATCTTGAACCTACCAACACCCAGAACTACGAGAAACAAATTTCTGTTGTTTATAAGCCACCCAGTCTGTGGTAATTTGCCATAGCAGCCCAAACGAAGACAACACACACGCAAATGAGCTCTATGAGATCTAAATGGTAACATTAGCCACTGTCTACTGGAGACGCAACATATGCCAGGCACAGTCATTATCTCATTTAATCTTCATAGACAGACAATGAAATAGGAACAATTATTATTCCTGTCTTACGGTAAAGAAACCAGCTCACAGAGATCAGACTTGTTCAAGGTCACAGAGCCAGTAAGCGGCAGAGTTAGGACTGGAAGCCCTGTCTCTCTGACTTTAAACTGTGCGTCTAGGAACCCTACACTTTACCGCCTTTCTGTGATCCCTTACTTGCAAGTTCTACCTTCTTACAAAGGGTAAGGTGACCAGATACGACAGGATATCCAGAACAGAGACAACCAGGACCATGCAGGTGACTGGTACCTGGGGAGGGGCATGTGAGGTGGCTGGCAGGGGTCAGGACGCCAGAAGGTGGGGCTGGCGCTCAGCGGAGATGGCAGGAGCGAGGGCCTGCCATGGTCTGTGAGGGCGTGGGGTGCTGTCATCCCCACTGTGAGAAAGGTCTCCTGCGTCGAGGGATGGACACACCAAGTCCATCCCCCTCCAGTGGCAGTCTGCCCTGGATTCTCAGTTAGAAGGAATCTTAAACCACATGCAGCCTGACCCTCCCGCTGTGCACATGAGGAAATGCAGGGTGAGCCGCTCGCCCAGGGAAGTGCTGGAGGCAGCACTTGGTTCATGTTTTTGACCCCAAACCTACAGCTCTCCACCCCCCGTGCTCAGGCCCCTTCCCGTCCTTCCCATGACCAGGAGCTGTGTGATTCAGCCTTACAGCAGGGAGCCCCTCTCCGGACACATGTCTTGGGGAGACAAGACTGCTCAGACACCTGAATGCAGGACTGCCGCCAAGACAGGGTGGAGGGAGCACGGTGGGTCACCGGGACAGTCCGACACCCACTGATGACAAACAGCATCTGGGTGGAGCCACCAAGAATTACCGCCTCTCAGGGCATGAAGCCCAGAGGGAATCGTGTCAGCAGTCGGACGCCTCGCTTCCTCTCCGTCTTTCTTCCCGTGCCCCTTCCGGGTAAGAAAGCTAAGCTCACAGTTTCTCTCTGACAGCTCCTGCCCACCTTCTGCGCAAAGTGGAGGCAGCAGACTTGGAAGTAGATCTTCCCAGTACCCATGGCACTGACGCCCGAGATGAGGTCTCAAGTCACAGGGCTTGACGTGGGGGGGAGTGGGAGCATGAGAAGTCATATGTAAGCCCCGAGCTTGAGAGGCGAGCCGACAGCACCAGCTGGCCGGGGTAGGACACACCTGCTTACAGCAAGGAGGACAGACAGCGTGAGGGTGTCCATCCAGGATCAGAAAGGCAGCAGCACATCGTGGGAAGGCAGAGGAATGTCAGTGGGGGCGAGTGGAACAAGCATGAAGGATGATGCATGAAACAGCCTGAGACTTGGAGTCCAGAGACCTGGAGCTCAGGCACTTCCGACCTGTGTGATCTTAGGGCAGTCACTTAACCTCTCTGGGCCTCATTTTCTTCATCTGTGAGATGGACATAGTATGAATACCTACCTGGCAGGGTTGTTTAAGAACTAAACGGTCAGACCATCATTTAGCAGTAAGTAATAGCCACTTTGCCTAGGGCTGCTTTTCCACTGGTCTTACCCAAGAAGAGCAATGGTGTGGAGCTGTTCAGGAAGGCACTGCTGGCTCTGGAGTGCTGGAACCCACAGGTGGTCCGATTCATTGTTCCAAGGAGTCACCCAGAGGTTCTCGTCCCAGGTCCTGAGGTTCTGGGACAGGTGCTCCCCTCTAGCTGGCAGCAGTGTTTCTCAGAGTATGTAGCGGCAGCTGGCAGGTGCAGGGCCCCAGGGAGCTGGCAGCTCTCTTCCCCTTGATCTCTTTCATTCCTCCACGGGAACCTGTTGGATGGGGAGAATGTTCCAATTTCACCACCAGAGGGGAGGGCCTCAAAAGGCATTGAGATAGCCTTTCTCTCTTAAGGAAGGCATCTTCAGACAGGCCTTCCCCAAGTACGTGGTCCAAAGTTGGCTCCCCAGCCTCTCTCTGCCACGTCACCCTCTGATCTATTAGCAGATGGATTTACTTCGATCATTTACTTCCTTGCTTGATTATTGTCAGTCTCTCATCAAGAATGTAAACTCCACAAGAACAGAAGCCTTATCTGTTTTGGTCACCACTGTATTCCTAGTGCCTGAAAAAGTGCCTCACATTACAAATATATTCAATACAGATTTATTGAATGAATGAATGAATGAATGAATGAATGCCAAAGACTCCTTCACAGCACCCTGACCAGGGTCACCCAACCTCGGCTGGAACTGCGGCGAGCCTCCAGCACAGACTCCGGAACCCCTCAGTTGATGGCAATCTTTGGCCTCTGAAGGAGAAGCTGACGTGAAACAGCCCGAAGCCACTCTGAACCAAGCCAATGGCAGGATGAAGTTGGTGGTGACTGAACTGGGAAATGCCAGTTTGGGAAGTAGAAGAGCTGTGCCACCAAACACCACGGGTGACGTCCTGATGTCCTGGAGGAGGATGGCCTGCCTGGCCACGTGGGTGGCCCGAGAAGATGGCAGGGAAGACACGGGGCCACAAGCCGCCCTTGCAGGCTCTAATATCTTGCCTCGGCCTCCAGCCTCTGCTTCCGGTATGACGCGAGGAGAGAGGTGTATTTAAGACCAAATGAAAGAGGATCTGTCCCCATCTGTCCTCCACCCACCACCACGTCCCCTCAAACACGTCTGCAGAAACAGTCGGGAAATCCCCTAACGAGCCGAGAGTTGGAACCAAGTGCCCAGGCCACACAGGGGAGTCACTTAACCCCCCTGGACTCAGTTTCCCTGTTTGTGAAATGGGGCAAGAGTAAGAAAGAAAATAACGCACGGCTACAGAAAAGACTGCTTCTTTTCACAAACGCATCTCATTGTCCCCTTCTAGTGTCCCCTTACACAGGTCCTCGTATACAAAGTACATTTCTTCTAATAATCATACTATTGCTTAAGAAATACTAAGAAGTCTTTTGAGAGGTCAGCCTTTCTAACTGTTAGAATTGTTTTTATTTTTGATTTTGGAAGGAGGAGGGGACATCATAATCTTTTCAGTCTGGGGCTTCTAAAAGTTTTTGTTTTATTAGATAGCGTTCACACAGTTTAGAATTTAAAAGGTACAAGAGGACAGCCCTTGAAAAGCTGCTCTTCCACCCTTGGCCCCAGCCGGCTAGCTCCCCTCCCTGGAGGCAACAAGCATTCCCAGTTTTGTTTGGTTTTTTAAGATTTTATTTTTCCTTTTTCTCCCCAAAGCCCCCCGGTACATAGTTGTATATATATTTTTTTAGTTGTGGGTCTTTCTAGTTGTGACATGTGGGATGCTGCCTTAGCGTCACTTGATGAGCGGTGCCATGTCTGTGCCCAGGATTTGAACCGGCGAAACCCTGGGCCGCCGTATCAGAGCAAGTGAACTTAACCACTTGGCCACGGGGCCGGCCCCCAGCATTCCAAGTTTATTGGACGCCTTATGTGTACAGGAGCAAACATACAGACACACACACACATAGACACATACTTACACAATACAGCTTTCTGTCCTACAGATGATAGCATACTATATACATTGTTCTGCCTCGTGCTTTTTCACTTAATATATCTTGGAGCTGATTTATTATCAATATGGACACAACTTTCTCATTCTTTTTCAGCTGCCAAGTGTTCTGTTCCATCATGGACGCCCACAGTTGACTGAACGCGTCTCCTAGTAGTGCACATTTAGATCGTTTCCAATTTTTGCTCTTCGAATGATGGCCCAGTTATTAAACGTGTTCAAACGTCGTTTGGCACACGTGTGAAGATATGTTTAGAATTAGGGGAATGGTTACCAAAGTAGGGTTACAATCCAAATGTTAAGAAGTCAATGTTACTTTGAAAAAATCCAAAATTGTAGTGTCACTCAATGTACCCATATTACTACCCAGATTTCACTCTAAATGGCCTTTGGCTGTTTCCAAAAATCAAAATGCTCCTCAAAGAACAAGGACCTAAGACCACGAGGGCCTTCAGCAGAACTGCCAGCGCTGCGGGAGGCTGTCCATGCCGCCGCGCCAGCAGCGCCACTGGAGTAAGGGGAGCGCTTCCCCGGGTGACTAGGACAAAGGGGACAACCCTCAGCGACACAGATATTTCCACGTATTTCAAACAAGATTTACTGAGTCCCACCCACAGTCTGCTTACAACCGAGGCTACAAGGATGAACAGGGAACGGCTTTGCCATCAAGACACTGACGGTCCAAGGCAGCGGGTAGCTCTCAAAGTGTGGTCTGGGGGCCACGTGGGGGTTCCAACCATCCTTTCAGCGGGCTGCTGAGGGCAAACTTATTTTCATAATAGCACTAAGATGCTGGCTGCCTTTTCCACTCTCAGTTTCTCTCAAGTGTGGAGTGGAGCTTTCCAAAGGCTACGTGACACGTGACACGACAGCAGACTGAGTGCAGAAGTGGACCCGCGACTCCAGCTGTCTTTTACGGAGCCAGACGTTAATAACAAGATTGGCAGAAATGTAAAACAACCCTCTTTTCTCACTAAATTTTTCATGTTTGCAAAAATATGGTTATTTTTCATAAAACTGTGTTATTATTTATGTAATGGTTTTAGTACCACTTTTTAATTAATTAAATAAATATTTTAAAATTTTCTTAGTTTTAATTCCAAATATGGTAAACATAAATAGGTAGAACCTACACAAACAATAGCTCTTTGGGTTCCTTAATAGCTTTTAAGAGTAGAGAGGAGCGCTGAGACCAAAAGTTTGAGAAGCACTGCTCTGAGGACTCGTGGTGTTTCTCGAGCAGAGGGTGGGAGAGCGGCATTTCACCAACGGGTGGGACATCGAGGGTGCAAGAGAAAAGATGCAGGAGAAGAAACGGGTGTTCTCAACAGCAGTATGTGTCAAGGAGGACAGACATTCTCTTGGAAGAGGAAACTCCCTGGGGCCTCCTGGCCGGCAACGTGGCAGCTGTGTAGACAGCTGTGCCAGAGCAGACAGAGCCAGGTGCCGGGGGCAGGTCCTCAGGTCAGGGAGCCTGGAGGAGGCGGAAGCCACGTCAGACCAAGAGGCACAGCCTTGCCCAAAACACTTCCTCACTGGCTGCTGGTGCCCGCAGTTCCAGTGAAGTGTTCCCCTCCCTGAGTCAAAGGCAAATTCAGAACAAAACCATGTCAAGCATTGTTCAAGCTCACGCAAATGTGTAAGTAACCATCCAGTTATTGAGCTGGACTGGGGGGCTGCTGTTTCATAAAATGAGAGCGTGCAGCTGTGGCAGGAGTGGGGTCGTCTGGTGGGCGATGGGTGTGGAGAATAAAGGAGACCAGAAAGTATTCAACAGCTAGACCATCAGACCCGGGACAGTGACGCCACCAGAGAGGAGTTCAATCTGGCTGACTCTGGGCAGCTAAAACCAAGGAAAAAAGTCCAATCCAGCCAATTTTTTGTAACATATGTTATGTACCCAGGAGTATAAGACAGGTTGCAGGGGTGGAGAGCAACTGGACATGGGACCTGGGCTCAGAGAGTGCTATCCCACCTCACCCTCCCACCCCAGTCTAGGAGGGACATATCCACTGAGCCCATAGCCCTAACAGAAAGCAGGTGTGTGGTCAGTGCTAAAATGGCTATTGGATCAGAGAGGAAGGATAAGTCATTTCTAACTTGGGTAATGAGGGAAGGCTGCATGGAGGAGGTGGCATTCGTGCTGGTCCTAGACGATGGGAAGGATTCCTATAGGCAGTGCTGAGACTATGGACATTCCAGGGTGCTCTGAGCAAAGGCAGGGTAGTCAACGCGCAGTCATTTTTCCCTCCACAAACGTTTGAAAAGAGAAGGTGCACACGTCACCTGAGGATGAAGGAAAGCTGTCACCTAGGATGGTGGAAGAAAGGAGCAACAGGACCTGGGAAGACAGGATGCACGAAACACAGCTCACACACTAGACTTCAGGAGCCCTGCGTGGAGCGAGATCATTCTGATCTACTTATCTTCCCAGTGTGTAGGCCAGTGCCTAGAACAGGGCAGGCCCACAGTAGATGCTTGATGGATGGACGGAAGACGGGACACACTCCCGTTCTCCAGGCTGGCCACACTACAGAGCGCTGCTGTAGTCAAGCAGGGCCACCAGGAACACAGCAGGCGAAGATGGTTAAGTTAGCTTCCTCTGAAGTAAAGATTCTCACCTTTTCTGGGACTTTAACTGTTTTTCTGGTTGTTTTTGCAAAATTTCATTTCTCAAAATAGAAACCCTGTGTCCTCTTGAGGTTTACAACAGAGCCATTTATTGGTTGGGGGTTGCTTTAAAGATCACTTTCAGGTTTCCAGTTTGCTCAGTGGCTTATTTGCAAGCCTCAAACAGTTGCCTTGAGATTCGGCTTCCCAAGAAAATCAGAACGTCATCCTCTTGGGCTCCCGCAGAGGATGTGAAACGAGCAGCTGTCCACAGGCAACTGAACGGGAACTGATCCCAAATTCATCAAAATGACTGCCCTTTACTGGCCCGGCAGAGAGAATTCATTCGATTGGAAATCATAATAGAATTTCTTAAGAAAGCACATTTTATCAAGTGCCAAATGGAAACCTCAGGCACATCTCCTGATTTCCTTCACTGCTCAGAACCAGGGCCATCCCTGCGGCCTCCAGGCAGCAGTGTGAAGGATTGGGCACACTTACCCCTATCTGTGGATGAGGTGACTGAGGAGGCCTAGGGAGTGAGGAACGAACTACCCAAGGTCACAGCACACAGCGCGACCAGCATCCAAACACGGCCTCAGGATCCCTCAGCCCTTCTTCCATGTCCTGCACAGCTTGTTTCTGTGTCTGTGGGAACGCTTCATTAACTGGAACGGCCACATAAACGTTT